TGTTTACACTTGTACCTATGATCTTGTAAGCGATTGACAAATCAAATCAAATCAATCAATAAACAGATGCAGTCGAGTCCAATGGGGAAACCGGTTTCACTTAACAACCGGGTGACTAACTTGGCAACTCTAGTGATTCGCTTAACAACGGTGTCAAGGAAGGTCATAAAATGGGGCAATACTCTTCCTGCGGACGCAAAGGGAATGAACGTACAACTAGATGGGGGGATTTTAAAAAAGAAGGGGGGTGTCTCCAATTGAAATGGGACAGGAAGCCTTGGGGAAGAGATACAGGGCAAGGGAGGGGTGATGTATCCTCTACTCCAGTGGGGTGAGAATATTACAGCCTTCTTCCCCCCCAAAAACCCAGTTTGCTCTCAATGTGCATGAAAAGAAAAGACATTCATCAAGAATCATCAGATACAACATGGAATCATAGTCATAGGTTACTAAAGCAATCAAAACATACCAGGAAAAACAATATAATCATAAAGATACAAGCAACTTATGTTCATAAGAAGAAAGAGAGAGGTAATAGGACCAATGAGAAGGATAATAGTAATACAGCCTTAGTAAATAGTTGGACAGCGTTGAGGGAATTATTTGTTTAGCAGAGTGATGGCGTTCAGGGGAAAAACCGTCCTTGTGTCTAGTTGTTCTGGTGTGCAGGGCTCCATAGCGTCGTTTTGAGGGAAGGAGTTGAAAACAGTTTATGTCCAGGATGTGAGGGGTCTGTAGATATTTTCCCAGACCTCTTTTTGACTTGTGCAGGATACAGGTCCTCCATGGAAGGCAGGTTGGTAGTAAGTGTTTTTTTCTGCAGTCCAAATGACTCTCTGGAGTCTGTGTCTCTCCTGTTGGGTTGCAGAGCCAAACCAGACAGTTATGGAGGTGCAGAGGACAGACTCCATCATTCCTCTGTAGAATGTCCTTTAACGTCTCAATGTCCTCTTGAACTTTTATACCCACAACTCTTTTAAAAAACGACTTCCTTTGCAAAACAAAAAACCCCAAACGTTATCTCCATCGGTTTCTTTCACCATGTTTGGAGACGCCTAATCTAAATTATTTTGGCTTTTGGTAGCATGGAGATACGTACTGATCAACCTTCACCTGTGGCTTGCCTCCTGCAGGAATTGGTCTGAAATTCCCAGAAAGGAAAAGGGTCAGTTTGGAAGATCTCTACGGGAGGCCCTCCCATCGGTGCAGGAGACTCATACGGAAGATGGAGAAGAACGGAGAAACCAGCATTGTGCAGGATACTGGGGGAGGGGGAGAAAACGTCTTTCCGGAAAGTCCAGCCGTGGAGAAAGAGAAGCCAAGAGACCAGAGCAAAGCTGAGAAAGAAGGACCCCCAGGTGAGTCCCCAGAAGTGAAGGACCACCAAGAGAAACCCAAGGATGATCCACAGAAACCGCTGCACGTCCGACACAGCTTCAGCTGCCCAGCACAAGTCAGCAGGTGAGATGTGTGAGATGTGTGGCTTACGGGGGAGGAATGGGCCCTGATTCCCTTCATTAGCCGCCGTGAGAACACAAGTGTATAAAAAGGGAAGCTGCGCGCAGCAAACTGTTGGCAGCAAATTGTGAATTATCTGCTATATTCAACGTTCTTCTCCGCTACCTCCATTGGTTTGAGGTCCTTCTGCCAAGAGGTCCACCTGGGCAATTAAGCCAAGCAATGGGGGGCAACTTTGAAAATGCACCGGGGCGCATGTGCGAAGTTGAGTTGAGAAGATAGTCAACTGATTGGGTGATGGGGTGATTTCTCTCTTTTTGGGTGGGTGGGTGGGTGGGAAGACTAGTGACTGCCCTGGAACTAGAGTAGTTTGGCAGTTTGGATGGATCCTACACGGAGACTGTTCATCGTGGCTTTTGACTTACGTGGGCTTGGATAAAGGCACACTGGGACTTTGAGAGGATAGGGACCCCTTACAAGGTGTGGAGGAGGAGGAGGAGGAGGATGTGGTGGAGTTTTAATCAAGGGAGATGGAGGAGGAGATGTAGGAAGAAGAGAAGGAAAAGGAGACAGGAGGAGGAGGAAGAAGAAGAGGAGGAGGAGAAGAGGCCGGAGATGGAAGAGGAGGAAGAGGAGGAGGAGAGAGAAGAAGAGAAGGGGAAGGAGAAGGACCAGGGGAGACACGAGAGCAGTGTTCCAATATTTGAGGGGCTGTCCCACAGAGGAGGAGGTGACCCTATTTTCCAAAGCACCATAAGATAAGGAATAAAGGATGGAAACTGAATATGGAGAGAGATTCAACCTGGAAATAAGGAGGAATTTTCTGACAGGGAGAACCATCCACCCATGGAACAGGAGTTGCCTTCGGAAGTTGTGGGAGCTTCATCCTTGGAGGCTTTCAAGAAGAGACTGGGACTGCCCTCTGTCAGTAATGGTGTAGGGTCTCCCTGCTTGGGCGGGGGAGGGTTGGACTAGATGACCTCCAAAGTCCCTTCCCACTCTATTCATTCTGCAAATCCTTTCGTGGCTTTTCTGCTGAATTTGAGGAGGGGGGGGCGGCGGTCTTTTTAAAAACCTTGCTTGAGGATCTGACTCGGGTCTCCCTGTTTCAGCTTAGGAGATATTCCAGAAGAGGCCTCAGAAGCCCCCAGCCCCCAGAGTCCCCAAGACCCCGCGGCTGCTTCCCCGCCTGCCCAAGAGCCTGCGCCCGGAGAGACCCCCAAAGAAGAGGAGGAGGAGGAGAAGAAGAAGAAGGAGAAGAAGGAGAAGGAGGAAGGGGCCCCTGAGCAGGTCCCAGGGCCGGCAGCCGAAGCCCCCAGCCCTGCCCCCCAAGAGAGTGAAAGGACTTTGCCCAAGGAGCCCCTCTCTCCGATTTCTGATGCTGCAGGAGCCTCTCCGTCCCCAGAAAGCAAAGATACCACCAGCTCTGAGGAACCAGGGTGTAGCCCCTACCTCACTCCCGATTTTGGCAAAGAAGACCCCTCTTTGATCTTGGGTAAGGTTGTCAGGGAATCGCTCAGTGGTGGGTTTCAAAACTTTTTACTTTTTCCTCCCAATAATTTTTATTGTTCTTTTTCACCTTTTACACATCTTAATGTTAACCGTACGGTGCCATCATTATTATATAAACCAATCTCATATAAACATCTACATTTAGATTCATCGATATACATTTATCTATAATTTTCTTATTTCTGTTATCCGTTATGCCCCTGTCTGATTCGGAGGGGGAGGTGGTGGAAGAATCTGGGGAAGGGCAAAGTCCGGCTGGGCAGAGCAGGGGAGAGGTAGAACAAGGGAGAGGGAATTCGGAGGAAGACCCAGGCCCACGCCCTCTTCATCCTAGGGCAAGCAGGGAGGAATGGAGAAGGGAGCAACGTGAGGTGCGTGGCTTACGGGAGAGGAAAGGGCCCTGATTCCCTTCATTAGCCGCAGTGAGAACACCAGTGTATAAAAAGGGAAGCTGCGCGCAGCAAGCTGTTGGGAGCAAATTGTGAATTATCTGGTATATTCAAAGCTTATCTGGCTTCCTGGCGTCTTCCCCACTGTGTGAATTTTGCCGTGCTTTCAAGTCTGCAATTCCTTCTCCTGCCCTGTCAAGTTAATTGCTGCAGCGTGGTTTGTTTTGGATTTTTAGTTACAATCTGTATGTACCTTGTTTTGGACTGAATTTTCTCCGCTTAAAGGCTGTTCCGGGGAGAGTTTTTCTCCAGCTGAAGGCAACTTGGGACATTGGGGGCAAAGTTGGAGATAATCAAGGGACTCTTCTTGCTTATTTGACTATGTTGCCTTTGTGCCACGCCCCTTTGGGTCATCACATTATCCTTATTTCTATTGTTCAACTATTTATACCAATTGTCCCAAATTTCATAATACTCCGTCTCTTTTTAATCTTTTAATTTTAATATCAGTTTATCCATTTCAGCCCAATCTAAAAAAATTTCAATTAATAATTCCTCTGAAGGCTTATGATTTTGTTTCCAGCGTTGTACAAATGCTATCCTTGTTGCGGTCAATATATATAATAAAATACGTTTAATCTTTTGCCTACATTTCCCTTTAATTATTGCCAACAATTCCGGTTTAAACTCTATTCGATCTTCCACTATTTCTTGTATCCAACTCCATATTTTAGTCCAGTATTTTGGGGCTTCCGGGCATGACCACCACATATGATAGGAGGTACCTTGGTCCTTTTTTGCATTTTCAAAACTTTTTCCTATTGGTTCAGTGTGACTGACGGAAAGGAGTCCGTGTGTCCCTTCCAAAGTTTCTAGTCCTCATGACGGCAGGCTCAGATCATCCTGGCCTTAAGAGCGCAATTCAGACCAAAATTTCTGATGCTTAAAGCAAGGTGGTTTGTTCAGTGAAGTCCTGCCAATTTGATGTCCTTTTTTTGCCACGGTTGTTAAGTGAATCAGGGGTTTGTTAGGTGAACCAGGGGCTTGTTAAGTGAACCAGGGGCTTGTTAAGTGAACCAGGGGCTTGTTAAGTGAATCAGGGGTTTGTTAAGCGAACCAGGGGCTTGTTAAGTGAATCAGGGGTTTGTTAGGTGAACCAGGGGCTTGTGAAGTGAACCAGGGGCTTGTTAAGTGAATCAGGGGGTTGTTAGGTGAACCAGGGGTTTGTTAAGTGAACCAGGGGCTTATTGTGAACCAGGGGCTTGTGAAGTGAACCAGGGGGTTGTTAAGTGAACCAGGGGGCAAATCTGGCTTCCCCACTGGCTTCAATGTCCAGAAAGGTCCCAAAAGGGGGTCAGGTAAGCCCAGGATGTTGCAACCGTGGTAAATACATGGTGGCTTATCCCAAAGCCTACATTTTGGTCACCTGATCACGGGGAATGTTGAGATGGTTGTAAGTGTGAGGACAAGCCATAGATCTCCTTTTTTTCTTGTGCCACTGTAACTTTGAATAGTCACTATAAAGAAATGGTCATAAGTTGAGGATTCCTGTACCTGGAACCGGAGGTTTTTAAGAAGAGACTGGACAGCCACTTGTCTGGAATGGTATAGGGCTTGAACAGGGGAGTAGACTAGATGACCTTAAAAGTCCCTTCCAAATCCCGTGTTTTTTTTTTTGTTCTTCTGTTCAAAATCAGGCACATTCAGTCCCATCAACACTGTTGCAGAGAGAGAGACCCCAGAATTTGATCGAGGGCAGGTGGCCAAGTTGGAATTAAACCTTGAATAAGAGTCAGCAATAGGGAAGTTTTTGGTTTTCAACTGTTAAGAGGGGGCAGTCAGAAATCAATAATAATAATAATAATAATAATAATAATAATAATAAATAACAACAACAACTATTATTATTATTATTATTATTATTATTATTATTATTATTATTATCAAATCTTTAGTGAGAGTCACAGCCTTTGGGGCTGGTTGGTAGCTCAACAGCTCGAGTCCTAACCAAGGACCTAGGAACTGTTCAGGTAATGTCGGAGCTTATCAGCTGTTCCAAGTAGGGTGGTATTTTTGTAGAATCGGGGTCTTCAAATCTGATAAATTCAGGATTTCCAAATAGCGAGGCAGCCCTTCAGGTCTGGCTCCAAGGGCTCCAATCACGATTGGGATAACACACGATTTCTTTTTACAAAGTCGCTCAACTTCAATTTGTAAGTCCCGATACCCTGTGATTTAATCTTGCTGCGTGTCTCCAATTCGTGCCTCACCAGGTATTGCAATGTCAATGAATCAAACCTTTTTCTCTTCAACTACTGTTATGTCAGGTGTGTTGTGGGCCAAGTGCCTGTCGGTCTGAATTCTCTCATAAGATCTTGACTTTTTCATTCTCCAGAACCTTCTCAACCTGATGGTCCCAGGAGTTGCTACTCTACTCAAATCTAAACTTTAGGCACAGTTTCCAGTGAATGGTTTTAGCAACTTGGTTATGACGTTCTAGGTGATGGTGGTTGTTATTATTATTGTTGTTGTTGTTGTTGGTCACACGGTCAGCCAGATGTTCAGACTGGATTTGGCATTGTTGTCCACCTATTGAGTCCTTCCCAGGACGTGGGATAGACAGAGGTGGGATGTCTTTGCATCCCTTGTGTGTCCAATCACACTTGGCCAATAAAAGAATTCTATTCTATTCTATTCCAAGTAGAGCTGCCATTTGCAATTGACCAATGGCAAATTTGTCCCTGTTGAATGGTGTTCAAAGGATTCTCCAGGTGTTTTGGGATTGCAACCGAGGCCCTTCTCACGATGGGTGATGCCTCTGTTTCCTTTTGCCACAGTCACTCTATTTCTGTTTGCGGGTCTTTGCATTTTGTAATGTTCTCTGGTTCTTTCTCTTCTCTTCTGCTGTCTTCGGGTTCTGCCATTGTCCACTATCCGGATCATTTTTTTTTGTCTTTCTTTCTTTTTTAAACAGTTTATTTATACATTTTCTCTTTACCGTTTCCCCAAAAATACAACCTACCCTGAAAATAAGTCCTAGCTTGATTTTTACATGTGCACCCAATATAAGCCCTACCCCCAAAATAAGCCCTAATTGAGACCCCCCACACACACACTCCAGAGTGGATGGGTGAAAATTAAGCTAGGGTGGAGATAGGGGGGTGGAGCTGCCCTACTACTTACCTTTTGACAGTTGTAGCTGGCGTCGCGCACCCTGACATCTGCATTGCCGGCCCATTTCTTCTGCAGCTGACAAGGCTGGGAAGGCTTTCCTGGAGGCCTCTGGAGCTGAGAACAAAGCTCTGGATCGATCCTGAGCTCTCTTATCGGCTGCAGAGGCCTTCAGGAAAGACTTGCTGGCTGCAGAAGAAGTTCCTGAAGGTCTCTGACAGCGAAAAGGAGGCCGGGGGCGATGCGCACAAGTGAGGTTAGTCAGTGGACAACGTACCCTGAAAATAAGACCTGGTGCCTTTTGGGGTGGCAAAATAATTATGATAAAGGAGGAGGAGGAGGAGGAGGAGGAGAAGAAGAAGAAGACCTGGTGCTTTTTTTTGGTGACAAAAAAATTATAACACAATGTGCTCTCCCAGCCAGTCTATGGGAATTGGATAGTTACTTAGGAGCTGTCCCCTTAAGAGAACGCATCATGGTAAATGTAGTTAAAGGCATCCTGGGAAATGTAGTTCATGTCACGTGGCCACATCTGTAATCCTGATTGGTCACTGAATTGACCCTCGATGGGTTGGGGGAGTTTTCCTCACTTTTGCCTGAACTCTCTAACTCATGGCAGCTGCTTTCTATCGCTACGAGATGGGTTGGGAGATAACCATCTTTTACCTACAAGGCAGATATGCAAAGGATTGGTCATTAAAGAAGAACTTCAACACAAATGTGAGTTATGAGGATACCTGATGAACTAATAAATGTACAGTACTTTGTTACGGACATCTTGTTGAGTTTAATCTCTCTGCATCTGCACAGTGTACAAATCCACCACTGTGCAGAATACAGAAAACACCGGGTCTTATTTTCGGGGAAACATGGTACATAAAGTGCTTTATGAACAGTGTACTGTCTGGATCAATTTGCTTACATAATAATCCTTTTCTTTTTTTAAAAAAATAAATTTTATTGAATTTACAATTAAAAACATATCGACATTACATATACAAAAGGGAGAGAAAAAGAAAAAAAAGAGAAAGAAAAACGCTCGGTCTTACGAACCGAAAAAGAAAGAGAAAAAGAGCTGTAAAGAAAGAAAGAAACAAAGAAGCGGAAGAGAAAAGAAAATACATTAAAAACAGACAGATATCCTTTTTGACAGTCTGCAAGATCCAATTCTCCTACCTTAATTTAAATACACACATCTTGTCAATATCTATGCTTAAATTAATCCTAAAAATCCTTAAACAATCCTTTTCAAGTTCCTAATTTCTACCTCTATTGTCCAACCATCCGTAAAACTAATCCCATGCTTGAAAATATTCTGTGTCTTTTTTCTTCTTTTCTTTTTAATGTCAATCTGTCCGTTTCTGCAATGTCGTGTTTTCTTCCGTGAGGTGTTTCTTCATTTTTCCGGTGCTGTGCAAATACAATTCTCACTGCCATCAAAACATGCAAGGTTAAATATATATATATTTATATATTCCCTTTATCATACTTTTCTGGTACTATACCTAACAAAAATATTTCTGGCTTATAATCTATATCCGTGATGGTGAGCCAGGTGGCACGCAGAGCCATTTGTGTGAGCCCCAGCTAAATTTACCTGCACTGCACCTGCGCGTGCCTCCCAGCTGAATTTCGGCCTCCCGGAGGCTTGAAGGAAGCCTCTGCGGTCTCGGGAGGCTGAAAAACCGGCCTTCTGGAAATACCGGAAGTGCCAAAACAGGCCCGTTTTCAGCCTTCCGAGGCTCCCGAGGCTTCCATCAAGATGGCCTCCCCTGGGCTCTAGAGGCCCTCCAGAGGCTGAAAAAAGGGCACTTCCGGTATTCCTGGAAGGCCTGTTTTTCGGCCACCCGAGGCTGCAGAGGCTTTCTTCAAGCCTCTGGGAGGCCGAAAACGGCTCCTCCCAGGCTGAAAATCAGGTGGGAGGTCCGCACAGGTGCAATGCAGGTAAGAGGGTGGGGCGGGGATGTTGCAGGGGCATGCGGGGGGGGGGGGCAGGCCACACTGCATTATGGGTGTTGGCACCACAACAAAATGGTTGGCCATCGCTGATCTATATGCTGCTTTAACTTTTTTTTTCTAACCATGTGTGTATTTTTGTCCATTTTTAAATTTTTTTTTGCTTTTGCACCGATCCATCCTATGTGGTAATACCTGCCTGGGGTCTGATTACCTTTCCAACATTTGGTGGACGTGTTTTTAAACATTTTTCTCTTCTCTTCTGCTGTCTTCAGATTCGGCCATTGTCTGCTATCCAGGCTCTTTTTTTAAAAAAATTGGTCTTTCTTAATTGTTAAGTCCAGGATGTTATGTGGCGGGTGCCTTCTGTCTGAATTCTCAAAGAGATTTAGCGTCTTCATTTTCTATGACTTTCCCCATTTTATGGTCCCACCAGTTCCCACTAGAAGACAAAAGGTGTTTCTTGCAGATTACGATGCACCGTTGTTGTTGCTACTTTGCCGTGTTCCTTTGCGGAGACGATATTTGCGGTCTGTGGCTGTCTTCTCAATTCTCACTTTGTGTGCACTTGTTCTTAAAGCTTGGTCTTGGCTAGAAATATAAATATGGAGTCTCCCTATATAGATATGCACAATGTATTATAGTTATATCAATAAATCTCTCTGTCTCTCTCTTTAAACACCTACCTACTTATCTTTCTATCATCTGTCTATCTATCTGTCTATCTATCTATCTATCTATCTATCTATCTATCTATCTATCTATCT